CACTAATGTACAACAATTTACCTTCCATAAGAATCTTCAATTCGGTTAACGAAAAAAATAATTTGATTCACGAAATCCTTATGAAAATCACATTTTGTTTTGAACATCAGCTGATAAGCTGAGGAGGTACTCAGCCAATTCAGTAATCTCTTCTATGTTTACATTCGTTTCCATTGGAGTAAATATCAAGAAAATTGTGCTCTTTAATATTTGTGCATTTTTTTTATACAGTGAACCCTCACTTTACGCGGTCAATTGAACCCACGGCGGCCCGCGTAAAGTGAGAAACGCCTAAAGTGAGAAACATAACATATGGGATTAATTGAAATAGAGACCGGGCCGACCCCCAAACTCCACTTTTTCAGACACAATACCTACGTTGTAGTAAAAATAACTTCTTAATTTTATGATGGTATGCACACACAATTAATAATAATTAAGGTCCATTCTAGTGTGATAATTAAGTCTGTTCTAGTGTGATAATTAAGTCTGTTCTAGTGTGATAATTAAGTTTGCTCTAGTGTGATAATTAAGTCTGTTCTAGTGTGATAATTAAGGTCTGTTCTAGTGTGATAATTTAGTCTGTTCTAGTGTGATAATTAAGTTTGCTCTAGTGTGATAATTAAGTCTGTTCTAGTGTGATAATTAAGGTCTGTTCTAGTGTGATAATTAAGGTCTGTTCTAGTGTGATAATTAAGTTTGCTCTAGTGTGATAATTAAGGTCTGTTCTAGTGTGATAATTAAGTCTGTTCTAGTGTGATAATTAAGTTTGCTCTAGTGTGATAATTAAGTCTGTTCTAGTGTGATAATTAAGGTCTGTTCTAGTGTGATAATTAAGGTCTGTTCTAGTGTGATAATTAAGTCTGCTCTAGTGTGATAATTAAGGTCTGTTCTAGTGTGATAATTAAGTCTGTTCTAGTGTGATAATTAAGTTTGCTCTAGTGTGATAATTAAGTCTGTTCTAGTGTGATAATTAAGGTCTGTTCTAGTGTGATAATTAAGTCTGTTCTAGTGTGATAATTAAGTTTGCTCTAGTGTGATAATTAAGGTCTGTTCTAGTGTGATAATTAAGTTTGTTCTAGTGTGATAATTAAGGTCTGTTCTAGTGTGATAATTAAGTCTGTTCTAGTGTGATAATTAAGGTCTGTTCTAGTGTGATAATTAAGTCTGTTCTAGTGTGATAATTAAGTCTGTTCTAGTGTGATAATTAAGTTTGCTCTAGTGTGATAATTAAGTCTGTTCTAGTGTGATAATTAAGGTCTGTTCTAGTGTGATAATTAAGTCTGTTCTAGTGTGATAATTAAGTTTGCTCTAGTGTGATAATTAAGTCTGTTCTAGTGTGATAATTAAGGTCTGTTCTAGTGTGATAATTAAGTCTGTTCTTAGTGTGATATAATTAAGTTTGCTCTAGTGTGATAATCTGTTCTAGTGTGATAATTAAGGTCTGTTGTGAGTCTGTCTAGTGTGATAAGTTAGATAATTAAGTCTGTTCTAGTGTGAGTAATTCTGTTCTAGTGTGATAATTAAGTTCTGTTCTAGTGTGATAATAGTGTGATTAAGTTAGTGTGAGTCTGTTCTAGTGTGATAATTAAGTTTGCTCTAGTGTGATAATTAAGTCTGTTCTAGTGTGATAATTAAGGTCTGTTCTAGTGTGATAATTAAGTCTGTTCTAGTGTGATAATTAAGTTTGCTCTAGTGTGATAATTAAGGTCTGTTCTAGTGTGATAATTAAGGTCTGTTCTAGTGTGATAATTAAGTCTGTTCTAGTGTGATAATTAAGGTCTGTTCTAGTGTGATAATTAAGTCTGTTCTAGTGTGATAATTATGTCTGTTCTAGTGTGATAATTAAGGTCTGTTCTAGTGTGATAATTAAGTCTGTTCTAGTGTGATAATTAAGGTCTGTTCTAGTGTGATAATTAAGTTTGCTCTAGTGTGATAATTAAGGTCTGTTCTAGTGTGATAATTAAGTCTGTTCTAGTGTGATAATTAAGTCTGTTCTAGTGTGATAATTAAGTTTGCTCTAGTGTGATAATTAAGGTCTGTTCTAGTGTGATAATTAAGTCTGTTCTAGTGTGATAATTAAGGTCTGTTCTAGTGTGATAATTAAGTCTGTTCTAGTGTGATAATTAAGGTCTGTTCTAGTGTGATAATTAAGGTCTGTTCTAGTGTGATAATTATGTCTGTTCTAGTGTGATAATTAAGTTTGCTCTATTATTGATATTTCTCTTAATTATAATTAAGAGAAATATCAATAATTTAGGTTTTTTAACACTTACATTAGTAGAAAAGATGGCTGGGCACACGGGGATGGGGGTTGGTTCCGAGGCAGAGGGCAGATTATTGGCCCTCACCTGTATCACTATCCACCATAGAGGCTTGCAGGGCCTCTTTGTCAAACCCCTCAAAGACCATATAAGTCCATAACCTCACTATCATTATCACTATCACTGACTTGGGCCGGCTGTGGTGGGTGGCGGGTGAAGTACTCGGTAATGTTTTGATGACTGGGCGACCTTGTGCGCACCCTGCTCGCGCTGCTCTCCGCGTAAAAGGGTACACACACCGCGGAAAGTGAGCATCCCGCATTCAGCAGGGTACCGTGTAAACGTGGAAACACGTAAAGTGGGACCGCGTAAAGCAAGGGTTGACTGTATTAAAATTATTTCTCATTTTAAAATTAAGCCATCCAAGCTCTGTCTACATAAAGTTTTTCAACTATTTTTGGCTCATATATGTAACTTTAATTCATTTATTGAAACTCATTTACATGCACACACTGCCCTAAGAGCAAAGCTGAACTGTACATGTAATCAGAATAATGTACAAAATGATTACTAAAATTTTTGTCTAGTGCAAACTATAGCATGTTTACATTTAAATTTATCACTATCTTATAAGAATTCCAGCAATGCAAATTAAATTCACCCCGGTCACTTCTATTAAATTTTATAAGCAAAAAACAAAAACTCAATCTAAAGGACATAAATTAATTATTAAATACTTCACACCACAGGTGCCAACTGTCAAACATGTCACTGTCACCCCTCCCTCCCTACCCCCCACCTTCCCGAGAAATGTTTGGGGATTTTCACTGGGCTTACAGTTTCAATCATATATAATATCTCAGACTAAAGTTAAGAGAATATAAATTGTATTGCTGGAATCCTTGCAAGACAGCGAATAATTTGAATATAAATGTCATATATTTTGCACAAAAGATAAAATTTTTGCTCTCTCTAATAAAATTCTTAAATTAGATGTAAAATTTGTATGTCTAATGCAAATTTTAGCTTGTTTATATTCAAATTAATCACTATCTTATAAGAATTCCAACAATATAAATTATATTCTGCCCTGGTCATTTCTATGAATTTTATGAGCTAAAAACAAAAACTCAAGTAAATACAGTCATCCCTCGGTTAACGAGCACAATTCGTTCCAGAAGGTTGCTCGCTAACCAAAAATTTTTCTAACCGAAAACATTGTTTCAATGGGTTTTTGGGTAATTGGTTCCAGCTCACCGAAAATTGCCTAAAATCAACAAAAAAGTTAGTAAAGTACACTTACTTTGAGGTGTGTATGTAGAAGGCTCCTGGATGATGATGGGAATTAGAATGGGGTGGAGGAGAAGGGAGAAGAGAAGGCATTGGGGTGGAAGATAAGTCACCCCATGGTGCCATTTCACCCATAAAATTTTAGTTTTCTTGGTGTAATTCAAGATTATTTTCTTTAAATCAACACTGCACTGCATTATATATTGTCAATATGTACAATAAATTTCAAATTGACCAATAATTTGCTTGGAAACACAGAAAAAAGCATTTAGTTGAAGAGAGTCTCAAGCAAGATGTTACTTCCACTGAAAAGACACAGACTGACGCCTGTATGGTATGTTGACAGGCTGTTTGGCGTGCAAAAAACTGGCTTCCTATACATCAATTATGTTCAATAATTGTTAAAATGACTAAAAAATCTAATATAAAACTTATAAAATTATTGAATAGTACAAACTTCTTGATATTTACTAAATAGTAAGGAATTTAAGCCCTAGAACCGATTACTGTATTGGCGGACTAATACTACAGTTGGTGGACCGCCAAATGCAAGCGAAAACATGTGGAGGGGCGCTCGTTAAAAACTCGTTAATCGAGGGATTGTTCGTTAACCGAAGTTAAGAATCTTATGGAAGGTAATTCGTTAACCGAAATCTCGTTAACCGAGGGATCACTGTAAATAAATTACACTTCACCAGATGCACTAACTGTCAATCAAAATACACCTCACCTCACCTCCCGCTCCCCCTCTTCCCACGCTCGCTCGCTCGCTCCCTCCCTCCCTACCCCTGCCTTCCCAGACAAAAGTCTGGTGTTTTCATCAGGCTTTAAAGTGTTTATTTTATATAATATCTCAGACTAAAGTTGGGAAAACATAATTTGCATTGCTGGAATCCTTGCAAGACAGCGAATAATTTGAACATAAACGTCATATATTTTGCACGAGATAAAATTAATCACCTGTATCACATTACAGTAGTGATTTAAGAGTTCTAGTGTGTATGTACGATATATATAGTGATTTAAGGGCGATTTAGGGGAATTTTAGGAGTGTTTCTGACTTTATGCATTTTTGGTTTCACTTTGTATATACTTTTCTGTGAGCTGGAACCAATTACCCAATATCCCATTGAAACAATGGTTTCGGTTAACGAACGACCCTCTGGGACGAATTGAGTTCCTTTACCTGAGGGACCACTGTATGTATGTATGTATGTATGTATGTGTGTGTGTGTGTGTGTATATATATATATATATATATATATATATATATATATATATATATATATATATATATATATATATATATATATATATATATATATATATATATATATATATATATATATATATATATATTTGTTTACACTACAGTACAATAAATGGTAGGATTAACACACTTGATTAACTGTCATATAATACAGATACAAACATTTCTTTACTCACCAGCTGACCCTTAGCAGTTGGGGTATTTGCCGTGGGAATACAGGGAAGGGGAACAGACTCACGGCACTCAGGATGGCAGGTCGCTCTACAATCACGGCACTTCAATGCAACCTTACCAAACTTGACTCTGCAAGTCCAGTAGATATTATTACATATAATGTTTAGTTTAGCAAAATTATTGTTTCTTCTTCCGATTAAATAAAGGTATGGCTGATCTGAAATCCCATTTTATAACCAGGTTTGGATAGGACTCCCCAATACTGTACTTCCATCACAGACTCAGGACCTTTGCCATCCAGTAAAACCCTAACCTACAAATGCTGCAGCAAGTTTCTACATTTAGTCTTCACCCTTACAAGGTAACTTTAATCCTTACAATGGACCAACTCGTTGGATGCAATAATTGAGTTTCTTAGATTAAGTGACTATTATTAATACACGTGTTGATTGACTTTCCCCATGCTTGAAAACAAAAACAAATAAAACTTGTGATGACTGACATACCTCACTAGGTTTCAAAACTACAGGCAGACAATTAATGTGCTGCACCCTCACAGCAGTAGAGGGTGTTGTAGTGCTGGAGCCGAGTGTCAACAAACCCAGTTGGGACACACATGCTCCCCCCGCCTGACTCATGGGATTCTCTTCACATTATTCACAATTTCACAGATAAGTCATGGGCACTATTACATCAGAATATGCAGAAAAAGTATCGGTATATTTTCTGTTGTATATTTCAGTGACATATACTTAAAAGAAGGCTGAATAGTAAAATAAAAATGTGTCATTTGTTGTAGATTTACTGACAAGCAGTGTTAGTACCAACAGTCATTCTTTTAACCCTTAATTGCTACAGTACTGGGAAAATTTTCTCAGAAGCTCCAGAAATTGCACATTACATCACTCTCAAACCTGGAAAGAAATCCCCCTTCCCCAGATTTTTCCAGGTACTGAAAATTTTTTATCTGAATTTCATTGTACAGTACTGTATAGGAAGCTGACAAAAAGTAGTACATGGTTGCGTCGTTTAGCAATCATCCACTTGGCAAAAATTTGGTTTAGCGATTTAAAATTTCTAACACCCTTGGTTATTTAACGATTGGGCAGGTGCGGGCGTGATGAGAACAAGAAGGGTAGTAGCGTAAAAGTAAGGTTAGGTTGGGTGGGTGGGCGGATGGGTGGTAGAGCAGGTTTCACGACGTAACAATGATGGACGGGTGGGAGCCATGTCTGCCTCTACCACCATCATCGCCTTATCCGATAGATATGTCAAGTGCCGACCCCTAAAAATTGCCTAAGTGAATAATATATAAATATTTGAGTACAATAAATAGTAAAATAAGTGTAGAATTTTTTTTTATTTTGTTAAAGTAAGTTATTTTATGTAAATAGTATATGAAACTTACAGTGGCATGTTTGCTGTGGAGGAGAGGCCTCTGTTAATTGTATTCCATTTAGAATTACCACATGTATGTAAATAAAATAAAAAATTTGAATCCCATTTTTCTATTCACCTCTCTATCCAGCATATACTCACGAGTCTAATATCAAAATAAGGTGGAAATAACAAAATTAAGTGGTGTAAAGTAAATACCGAGTGTGATACTGTCTATCTCCTGGCATACTCAGAGACTGTGACAATGAAGGACTTTCAAGGCCGACACTAAACCACTTGGAAAGGGAGCAGCTATATAAGATACTACCTATGAATCAACCAACCTGAATTTAAAAATCATTATCACGCTTTTCCAACAAAAAACCAGAGGGGTACACATTTAGGCGTATTATATAAAACTCACGTATTGTAGGTGTATGCTATCGACGCGCCACCTATGAACCCAGGCCGGTATTACGCTAGTGTTTGCCCTGCCTTGAACATTGTGATATGTTCTTTACTATATTGCTCTGTATATTATTGATCATTGTGCATCGTTCCTACTGCTGTTCATTGCTGTTATTGTTGTGACTTTGGCATGTTATTGAGTACAATACTGTAGGAACTGTTCATTACCCTGTACTATTGTGTAATAAAGTGATTGCTCCTCCCTCCCCCTCTACGATTGCCAGCTAACAGGCAGACCAGGTAAAAGAACTGTTTAATGTAATCCCTTTATGTTTTTTAACTTATGTTTTTATTTTGTTTGCTCATTCTGTATGAACAAATGTATGTGCCTGTAACAGAGTACAAGAAAATGATAAAAATTACGTATATCTACCTGAAATTACGAGTTGTAAGAACAGCATATATCTCAGCTCAGCCTCACCGGCTCCGAGTGCTATTGGGTGGTGAGTCGGCCAGGTGTCTCCGCTACACAGTTATTTGCTATCTCCACTGATATTATTCCTTGTTTAAGATATTATGTCTCGTTTCTGTTCGCTCATCAATCAAATCACTTAGCGATCAGTTTTTTAGGAATGCATCCTGATCACTAAACGGCGCATCCCAGTACCCAAGGCCAAGATGAACATGTGCTGTGTGACATACTTCTTGTTAGGTTTAAAAACTGTAGAGTAGACTGCTGATCTTCACATTAATGCCTCAGTCGGAGTAGGTTTGAGAGTCCTCACTTTTTATATCCCAAGCCTATGGCAGGTATATTAAACCTTCAGCATTAACATAGGTTATTTAACTGCGATCAAGTAATAAATAAACCACACTAATGGATCAAACTCGGGAATAAAGTACTTCAAGTTATGTCTATTAATAATGACTGATTGATTGATTAGGGTAATTACATCCCTGGCGATGCAACAGCTTAGGTCATATGTCATCGAATTAATAGTAAGACTTAGAAGATTAAAATATTACCATAATAAGGCAATATAATGATAAATACACAGTATTGTGCACAAAGCTGCCAACAGCATACCTATACAAACTGAGAAATATTAATGTCTTTCACAAAACAAACCATTTTAAATACATATAATCAAGATCTATTATAGTCAGTAGTGTACACATGATCAGTTACATTGTACATAATAACAAAAACTCAGTCCAGAAAGAACCTACCGTTTACCACATGGCTGACATTGTTCACTTTTGTAGATGGTTTTCGAATAAAAGGCGTGTACTCTTGTGTTCATCTTGCTTGCAGAAGAATAGTTGCGCATTATGGGAGTATGAGGCGTGTGTGTGGGAGTGGTATATGGCGTTAGGCACTGTTGCTGGAAGAAATTGGACAAACAAATTTAGTACAATCTCATCAATCAACATCAATATAATATTAATAATAGCTCAAAACACTACAAAGTTAAAGACGTTAGAATAAAAAGAAATACTGTACACGAGTTGTGTTCCTACGGGTGTTCGTAAGTAACAAAATGTACAGAAGTTCTATCACATACATGTACAGAACTTACAGAACAATGTTTAGAACCCCACTATATCATAGCCTAATTCCTTATATACATCTAAAACCACTTAATTTCAAGAGAAAAGAAGAAATAAGGAACAAATGAAGCACAGCAGTAAATGAAAGTAAGAAATAAGTCATCAGGTAAAGGCAGTAGGCAGCTACCAAACAGGGAGGTACTACCACCTGGGAAGATATTGGAAGCATAATGTATTGTCTAATGGTAGACCCTGTTGCCATATGGCATCAAAAAAATTGTGACCAAGTCCCAGGTTGCTGATCTGACTTTCTGCCTCATTTACACACAATTGCAGGGTCTCAATTGTTTCTCTTACTATTGACAACACAACATACATATATTGTTTCTCACTTTTGATCTTTTTTTCATTTTTGTATTTCTTTATTATTATTATTATTATTATTATTATTATTATTATTATTATCATCATCATCATTATTAATTTTTTTTTTTAGAAATTTAATTTTATATGAATTATTATTATTATTATTATTATCATCATTATTAATTTTTTTTTTTTAGAAATTTAATTTTATATGAATTATTATTATTATTATTACATTTTGCCCCCACCCCCCAACCCAAGCCCCAATGTGGGTCAGTGACCTGTGCCCGGGTGGGCTAACCCCACCCACCCACCCCAAAAATAATAATAATTTATTGTCTAATATGCCTGGGTGTGCTAAATCTTTGTAAAAAATTTCAAATAAATAAATAAATAAACACAGTCAGTCCTCGACTTACGGCGGGGTTAGAGACAAACGACCAGGTCGTAAGTCGAAAATGCAAAAATAATGCATAGAAAATCTAAAATGAAATACGGTACAGTAAAAGTAACCAATAATGAAAAATGAATAAAGTGTTACTGTGCACTTACCTTTAATGTAGTCAGCTGAATGCACAAGGGGCCTCAATAATTTTTTATTTAAACATGGAGACTACATTAATTGGATGAAGCAGAGGAGGAGACAGGGCTGGGTGGGTCATCAATTTCGTTTTCTTCAGACAGGCTAACATACTTGCTTGTTGAAGGTATTGGATCATCTTTAGGGAGTGAAGAGGCAGCAGTGGTGGGGCGTGAGGAGACAGCAGTGGGGGACTTCTTAAAATATATGTCCAATTTAGACTGCACAGTTTGCCTTTTCTTTTCATTGTAAATCTCCCTGTAGCAAGCAAGTGCATCTTGGATCTGTCTGTCAACTTTTGCAAAACGCTCAACATTTTTATCCATTTCTTCCTACATTTGCATCCCTTTATTAATAGTAGCAAATGCCTCTGCCATGTCCTTCAAAATTGTTGATATCGTCGAGTGAGAGAAGCCAAGGTCGCATGAAATGGTTGCTACCATTTTTCCATTTTGATATTGCATTATCATTTTCATTTTCATCTCAAAAGTAATTGACTGTCTCTTTTTCTTCTGAGCACCACCAGAACTCTCACTTTTACGCTTGCCAGTCATTTTAAAGGGAATTAGAAACGAAAATTCTGTCAGTACACAGCGTGATCACTAACACCAACTGAGCGAGCTACGGCGTGGATGCTGTACTACGACTGGGACCTCGTTCATATTGGCGGATGTTCGTAAGTCAGAAGTACAGGGTTACGTTCCTGAAAACGAGACGTTATGCAAAACAACGTTAAGCGGATCAATTTTCCCCATGAGAAACAGATAAAATATGGGAGTTACGTTCCCCAGCCTCCCTTTGCCCCACGAAAAAGTTAAATATAGAGAAAATCATTGCCATTTCTATAGAAAATAGTATATAGAAATACAATACTAAGTTTGTATTGGTACTCACCGATGGGCGGAAGTGGTAGAGCGAGTGTGTGGTGCGTAGTGGAGAGGGAGGAGGAGGGCGGGAGCGGAGGAGGATGAGGAGGCGGGCGGGAGCGGAGGAGGAGGAGGGTGGGAGCGGAGGAGGGCAGGAGAGGAGGGTGGGAGCGGAGGAGGGCAGGAGAGGAGGGTGGGAGTGGAGGAGGGTGGTGAGTCACTGAGACTCTGCTGCTGCCGCCTCCTACACTGACTGGGGTTCCTCCGCCGCTGCTTGCTCCTCCTCCATTGTTGGCGGGAATGTCTCGGCAGCAACCGGATCTGAACTGGCAGCTTCACCAGTCATCTTTATGTCCTGGAAGTTATAACGATGCTTAAATCGTTGAAACCATCCTCGGCTGGCCGTAAAGGTCTCTTCCTTCGATCCTTCACCCTCTGATTCTTTGATGTCATCAAACAAGGATCTGGCCTTATGCTGGATAACCATAAGGCTCACAGGGGCATTGCATTGATTCTGGTCCTCCATCCACATTGCCAGCATCTTCTCTATCTTCTCTATCACAGTGTTTCTAGTACAAGTCTTCTTAGTAGCACTGAGAGTTGTACCACTTCCAGCACTATCCTTAATCTTGTCAGCGTTGGCCCAGATAGTACACATCGTTGTGGGGGTTAGGCCAAGCACAGCGGCTATGTCCACAGCACATTCCCATTTTCCAAATCGGGTTAATACATCCATTTTTGTAGCCAGGGTAATGGTCTTACGTTGCCTCTTCACTACACTAGCATCAGTAGCACTTGATGGGTGCTTGGAAGCCATATCGAATGGTTAGAGTACAGTTTTAAAGCAAAAGCACTTAAGCACACACGAATGATGTGAAGTCGTAACAGAAACTGGCTTGGTGTCGCTGTGACGTTCCGCGAGTGAGCGTAGCGCGGCCAGACAAGAGCGGGTGATGCGCCGTAGAAAGTAGTCCGTGACGGCGCAAAACAACGTAGTACAGACAGACCCCGACTTACGACAGTTACGACTTACGACCGCCGCAGATTTTTTATTAAAAAAAAAAAAAATAAAAAAAAATTTCAAATGACACGCATTTTCTATACCGAAATGTTTCCAGTTAATGTAGCCTCCATGTATAATTAGAAAATTATGGGGGCCCCATGTGCATTCAGCTGACTACATTAAAGGTAAGTGCTGTCACACTGTAACCATTCCTTATTATTTATTACTTTCACTGTACTGTATCCATTCCTCATTATTCATTACTTTTACTGTACTGTATTTCATTGTAGATTATTTATTAAAAAAATTTTAAATTTTTTTTTTTATCTATGTCGGACTTACGACCTGGATTTTGGTCCCTAACCCCGTCGTAAGTCGGGGTCTATCTGTATAGGATCACTGGGACATTAAACTAATTTTTGGTCTCTAAAGTTCAGCGATGTAGTACCGAAACAACGTAAAGCAGGACGACGTTAAGCGAGGACTTACTGTACGTAACCCAGGTACCTCCTGTACTACAAAATGACAGTTCGACTTCTACCACTCATATACCCTTTAGTTTTAATCCTTCCTAAACCCTGTAATTCTCCATCACTGGACCCTGATATTGAGCTTTCAAGTAAAGAAAGCCCTCAAGTTGTTTATTAAAGGCCTCCAGAGAAGTATGTATCAGCACCCACTAATACTTCCCTAAAAGTGTTGTATCAGCACCCACTATTACTTCCTTAAAAGTGTTGCATCAGCACCCACTATTACTTCCCTAAAAGTGTTGTATCAGCACCCACTAATACTTCCTTAAGTGTTGTATCAGCACCCACTATTACTTCCTTAAAAGTGTTGCATCAGCACCCACTATTACTTCCCTAAAAGTGTTGCATCAGCACCCACTAATACTTCCCTAAAAGTGTTGTATCAGCACCCACTATTACTTCCTTAAAAGTGTTGTATCAGCACCCACTATTACTTCCTAAAAGTGTTGTATCAGCACCCACTAATACTTCCGTAAAAGTGTGTATCAGCACCCACTAATACTTCCCTAAAGTGTTGCATCCTTTCACTATTACTTCCTAAAGTGTTGTATCTACTAAAGCGTTGCATCAGCACCCACTATTTTCCCTAAAAGTGTTGTATCAGCACCCTATTACTTCCCTAAAAGTGTTGCATCAGCACCCACTAATACTTCCCTAAAAGTGTTGTATCAGCACCCACTATTACTTCCCTAAAAGTGTTGCATCAGCACCCACTATTACTTCCTTAAAAGTGTTGTATCAGCACCCACTATTACTTCCCTAAAAGTGTTGCATCAGCACCCAATATTACTTCCCTAAAAGTGTTGTATCAGCACCCACTATTACTTCCCTAAAAGTGTTGCATCAGCACCCACTATTACTTCCCTAAAAGTGTTGCATCAGCACCCACTAATACTTCCCTAAAAGTGTTGTATCAGCACCCACTATTACTTCCCTAAAAGTGTTGTATCAGCACCCACTATTACTTCCCTAAAAGTGTTGTATCAGCACCCACTAAAACTTCCCTAAAAGTGTTGTATCAGCACCCACAAATACTTCCCTAAAAGTGTTGTATCAACACCCACTATTACTTCCCTAAAAGTGTTGTATCAGCACCCACTAATACTTCCCTCAAAGTGTTGTATGAGCACCCACTATTACTTCCCTAAAAGTGTTGTATCAGCACCCACTATTACTTCCTTAAGTGTTGTATCAGCACCCACTATTACTTCCTTAAAAGTGTTGTATCAGCACCCACTATTACTTCCCTAAAAGTGTTGCATCAGCACCC